TCTTACTTGCTTATTGGAGTAAATTTTGTTTCCTAAATGTTTAGGGAAGGTTAGGCAAATAATTTTTACTTGGAATGAGTTCATCAAGCATTTTGTTTTTCGAAAAAATTGCATGTTTTACTGATAGAATTAGACTAAATTCATTAAAAAAAAAAATGTTACTTTATAAATTCAAGAATATATAGGGTGTAATTAACTATTATCTTATCAATTTGAAAAATTTAGGCACTTTATTTAAGCTATTGTGGTTATTCTTTAACTAAAGAAATTTAATCGATACAGAGTGTTCTTATAACTATAAACCGTAATAGATTTATTGAGATTCAATATAATTTGATAATTACATTTTTATAATATATTAGTGAGTTAAATTTTAAATTTAACTGAATCAAGTATTATAAACGATACTCTAATGTATTTACAAAATGAACAAATTTTGTGTTCTAAATAAAATTTGAACTTGTAACTTTTAAGTTGAATACAAAGATTTTAACCATCGTACTACTGTACTATCGATAAACTTTTAACGTGTTTTAATTGGAAGGTTCTTTGTACTACTTTAATAATTTATGAAGTAAAGTATCGTTGATATATATATATAGAAAAAGATGCAATATATGCTAATAATCTCTACTCGATTTTATACATTTGCAAGTATTTTGTAAACAAAGTCAATGGTCCAAAATGTCATTAGAAAAGGAACCTTCTTAATCGACATACTTCTCTTTGTTTTGACATGGGGAACTAAGACTTTGAAGAACTCACTTTGATTGTTGATTTATTACTTTTGATTTCTAGTTTAGAACCCAATTTAGATGTAAAGAAGAAATTGAAATTCCTTAATAATTTGTTGACTGATATATATTATTCAAAATTTTAGAGATATAAAATATAATTATATATGTATATATATATATATATTATTCAAAATTTTTTTTGGTAATTTAGTTTTGTTCCTTGAATTAAGGCTTACTTTGACTTCTTGGCTTGCAAATTTGTTTTCATGCATTGGTTAGGTTGGCACCAAATGCTATGTACAAAAATCAAGAAAATGACAGCTCCAAACTTATATTAATTAATTCTATAAAACCACCAAAGAGTAAAATTAAAGACCTACCACCATATGACAAAAACATTTAAAATCTCCATTAATGGCAGCACCATCATTACATTTCTTTACCCATATATATATATATGTATATATGTATGTATATATGCACATGTACTGGCTGTATATATATATATATATATATGTACAACAATGTATTATTATCTTTTCCATAATCTCAAGACTTTACTATATATATGCATATGTAAAATTGCTTCATTATTCTTGTGGATATTATGATGAAACCCCAATCATTAACTTAATATTTTAATTAAACCCATTAAGTTTAAATGGGTTTAGTTGATTTTTATATGTCCAAAAAAGATTATTGAAATTGCTAAAATAATTGCATTCAAAATAAATTTAGATTACGTAGGTATTGATTTTAACAAATAAATCATTTAATATATATATATATATCATAATAAATAACTAAAATATTTAAGAAAATAGACACTCTAACTTCATTAAATTTTTTTAAAAAAGTTAAAATTTCTAATTAACCTGACTATCTCTGAAAATTATGCACTTCAGAAAAAGTTATCCAACAAATATAAACAACTATAAATCTTCATGATATAGAATTAGATTTTTTTTCCTATAACAACAAAGGAACAGTACTAACATATTGTGTTTGGTGAACTGAACTGACTATGAATTTGATTTAAGATGGTTCAGCCAAATTTTAAGAATTATATTTGGGAGAAGAAAAAGTATAAGTAGTTTTATATATATATGCATGATTTTCAAATTTCATTGTATATGCATATGTGGAATTACTTGAGCGTTACCATGAACAGATGAACACTAGTGAAAACCAAATTATATAAAAAAA